GCTTTCACAGGGAAAGAAAGGCCCGGATGGGGAGGAACACACGTTGAATCAGACGCAGCCCAGGCCGATACGGCTGCACAAAAAACAGGGGCATCATTCATGTCCCTGGTGGTCCTGGCACGTCCAAGAAAAGCTGAAACATGAACACATGTGTGTATCCTGTGGCTCCCGTATTGTCTAGGCAAGGGGTGATCTGTGACCATCTCAGCTCCTTTATCCAGAGAACTGGCTTGGGGGTCGAACAGAGGCAGAAACCCAAGGAGAAGCACCATAGAACCAGCATGCCACTTCTAGGCCAGCCCAGGATGCTGGCAGCCAGAATGAAGTCCCAGCCAGCTAAGATGGGTGGGCAGCAATAACCCCACTAGCCAAGTAGGCCCCCATCTCCCAGCCTTATTGCTGAGGGGCTGAAGGAATGGAGAAGCCAGACCCAAAACCTGGAGTGCGGAGTGTGCCGCTGGAGCTTGGAGCCTGGAGCCCAGACCAGAAGCTGGAGCCAAGAGCCTGAAGTCCAAAAACTGGAGTCTGGAGGGGCATCTGCCTGGCTCATTTGGTAAAGTGTGAGACTCTTGATCTTGGGGTTGTAAGTTTGAGCCCTATGTTGGGTGTAGAGATTACTTAAAAATAAAATCTTTAAAAAAATAATAATAAAATAAAAACTGGAGACTGGAATCTGGGATTGGAGGCTGCAGCCCAGAACCTAGAGCCCGATGCCTAGAAGCAGAGCCCCTGCTTGGCTGGACATGGGATGCCTGAAACCGGAGCCAGGAGACTAGAGCTCAGATCCTGGAGCCCAGAACTTAGAACTTGCACCTGAGAATTTACAGTGCAGGGCTTAGAGCTCCAGGCCCAGAACATGGAGCTCAGGACCTGATGTCTAAAGCAGGAGCTCAGAGCTTCAGGTCTGGAACCTAGAAGCTGGAGCATGGGACGGCCATCTGGGAGTAAACTGTCACCCTCAGGCCTGGTCCCTGAGGCCGGCATGAAGGCACAGGGCTGGAGCCATACTAGGAAGGGAGCTGCAGGGGAAGAGGTGATTTCTGAGAAAAGCCCAAAGCAACCTCAGCTCTTTTGGCCACAGACTTTGGCCTCATCAGTCAATGAGTGACCAGTGCCTGGGCCACCAGGATTAAACATTACTCAGGGCACTTATCCTTCAAACAAGGATGGGGCATCCTCAGGTCAGCTGCCCCTAACCTGGGTCCATGGATCTAATGTAGCCTGCGGCACCCAATCTGGACAATGGGGCTTGGATGGGAGAACATGGCAGGGCCGTGCTTCTTCTGCGCCAGGCAGCTCAGATGGAAGTCCAGATTCTCCAAGAGAGGACAAAGTCAAGAGGGCCAGAGGAGGGAATGCTCTGTTCCCTAAGGAGAGGTGGGAGGTGGCCCCTAGTATGTCACCCAGCCCATTGGTGAGAATGGCTGCCTCAGCCACAGACAGAGCATGCCCTCATGCGTGTGCAGTGCATGCTCATATCTGCGTCTGCGTGCAGTGGTGCTGGCCTGAATACTGGGGTGGAGCGTTCACGGCCGTGTCCCCCATGTGCAGCAGCATGCTGGCTCACTGTGGGGCTTATATGTTGGTTGGAGAAATAAACACGTCGGTTCAAGGAGACAGGAGGAGCACCGTTGTGGGATTACACTGGTCGTTAATCAGTTCTCCCAAAAAATCCAGTTCATGCAGGGATGGTTTAGCATGTTAGTTTTTCTTCCCTTGATTCTCCTCAAACCTTAGGTCCTACAGAAAACTTACATGCAGCAAACCGTATGATTTAAAGGAGCCAGTGGATCTTAGCAGGGGATTACAGAAACAGCTGGTTGTGCCAATTTCCCCAGCTCGCTCCGTTCCTGGACCAATTACTTGTTCTTGGGATCGTTCTCTACTCCGCTCAGCAGTCATGCTGCTCCCGGGGAAACTGTTTTCACTGGCGTGACCAAATTCCCTATCTGTCAGTCTGTCACATTGGCCATGCTGTCTCGGCTCCCACCTCCTGCTCCTTCCCAACCCCTCACAAGCTGCCCCCGCCCCCAGTACTGCCCCAGGACAGCTTGCCCAGGTCACTAAATCCACTCTGTCCTCACCATACCTGACCTCTCTGCGGCATCTGACCTGGCTGATCAGGGTGTCTCCGTCTCAAAACGGGGGTGACCCTGGCTTCTGGGGCATCTACTTTTCTGTTCTTCTTCCCAATCCCTGTTATACCTGTTGGTTTCCTCTCAGGAGTCCCTCTTTTCTTTGCCCTCCCCCCAAATATGGGTGCTCCTCCAGGCTCAGCCCTGGGTCTTCTCTCTCCTCAATGTGCCCATTCTCCCTTGGGGTGGGGGGCATCTTCACAGGCCACACCCGAGGCCCTTGAGGCAGGCAGGACACCAAGTCACTCTGGGCCCCAAGGCTGTGTTAGGACACTGGTCTTTGTACGAACAGGGGCAGGTTTGAAAAGAGAGGGGTAACATAGTCAGAATTGCATTTTGAAAAGCTGGCTGGCTGCTACTTTGGAGACTGGATTGGGGGGCACAAGGGCAGAAGCAGGGAGAGCATTCGGTGAGAGATGGTGGACCGGACCAGGGAGGCGGCGACAGGCTGAGGGAGCTCCTGCAGAAGGGAAATGGGGAGCACTGGGTGATGGAGGAGAGACAAGGAGGTGGAGGAGAAGGACATGTCAAAGAAGCCTGCTCTGTTTCTGGCTCAGATCAGAGGACCACATGCTGCTCACTGAGGCTGGGAATGGGCGGGAGGCCCCGTCTGGGCTAAGGAGCACGTCGTGTGCCTCAGACCCACAGATCCAACTGCTCACACCAGAGGCACCTCAGACACAGTCTGTACAGATGGATCTTGGCATCTTCCCTCCAAAACTGCTCCTCCTCCTGGGTACCATTTCTCAGTGTGAGACACCGCCAACCACCCGGGCTCCAGGCCCAGAGGTCTGTGGGAGGCCGTGGCCAGAGTACCAGTAGGCAGACAGGGCAGGAGTCAGCGTTTGGGGGACATGCAGTCTGACACGGACTGGGAGGAGGCAGAATGTGAGCGGGAGGAGTCGAGGTGAACCGAGGGGCTCGCCTTCTCCACGCTCTCAGGAGTCCTGGAAACAACTCTGGTCAGCTCCGAGCACTGGCGCTTTCCTCAGTGCTCTAGTGGCCACTCTCCCAAATCCATTCAGAAGTGGTCGCTGTCCACAGCATTTTATAAGGTTGTCTCTTGCAGTGCATTTGATCGGTAACTGCGTCCTTCCCTAAACCCCAAGCTCCATGAGAGCATGGAAGGTAGACTTCAAAATTATCAAAGATCCTAACCTTATTAAAAAGAAGCACCCCTAGTTAATAAGGAGCACCTTGGATACAGCTGCTTCTGCTCCGGGTCTTACCAGAGCAGGGCAGGGGAGAGGAACAGGGCCTGTGGTCTAGGTCCCTGGACCCACTGTGGATGGGGGTGCCTGGACCCAGACCGTCTTTGAGACCAATGTGACTTTAACAGGGCTTGTGAGCCCAAGGACAATTCTGACACAAGAACTCAGCAATGACCGCCTGTCCCTGGCTCAGAGACTCCCCTCCCACCCATGCACAAACCCCAGTCTTACCCAGATCACTCCCTCCAGTTTGGAGAGTTTCTGGGACACCCAAGCATTCGCTACATAAATTAGGGTTCAGGACAGGACATGATGCAACCATTAAAAACAACATTGGCACTGAGTGTAAATACACAGGGAAAGTAATATGTAATAGTAGGTGGAAAAAGAGCAAGATGCAGTCTTTCATAGACACTAAAATCCAAATAGGTTTAAGAGGTATAGAGAAAAGGAGGAGAGGCAGTGTTCCGTGACAACAATGTGTCAAAGAAGTAGGATTGTTTTTATTTTCCTTTTTCTATGAATGGAGATCTTTCTAGGAAGCACCAGGTGGCTGATTGCCTGCCTCAGTTCTCCAGAATCTCCCAGAACAGGTCATAAGGCTATATGGCTGATTTTCCAAACCAGGGCACTTTTTAAGTGAAAGGGAACTCTGGGCTAGCAGTCATCAGCCAGGACTTGGCCAGGCAAACCAGGACTTATGGTGACTTTACCCAGAACCAATCCCAGCTGCACCTCTTCCTCCCACCTCTCCCTGATCCCCTAGGGGTATTGTGGCCTAAACTGTCAGAGCCACAATGTGGTGGGGCTGGCATCCAAACCCAGGCTGGCCTTCTGCTCTGCTCTCAACCACTTCAACAGAGACAACTCCCCAGTGTTCTGCAAATTAAGTACAAACTAGTTAACTTTTGTCACATTAGAGGAGAACTGTGCAGAAACGTCCATCTACCTTGATGGGAAAGGCTGGGTCTGTGTCACCCTAATATATGTGAGATATTGAATAGGACTGCAGCTCAGGGGGCCCCGAGCAATCAAAGGGCAACCGGTGAGCCAAGAGGAGTTGTTGACCTGAAATAGGACTATGAATCTAGAGGAAGTGGGGCCATTCCCTCAGGGGGGACCCTGCAGCCATCCCAGGGACAGTGAGAGGGGCACAAGAGCATGAAGAGAACACACATGCTGAGGGACTCTTCTAGGCACTAGATGGGTCAGCTAGCTCACTGACTTCAACCCACTGCAAAAGAGCTGCTGGTTGCCATTTTTTTTTTTAAATTTATTTATTTGACGGGGCGCCTGTGTGGCTCAGTCGTTAAGCGTCTGCGTCTGCCTTTGGCTCAGGTCATGGTCCCAGGGTCCTGGGATCGAGCCCCACCTCAGGCTCCCCGCTTGGTGGGGAGCCTGCTTCTCCCTCTCCCACTCCCCCTGCTTGTGTTCCCTCTCTCACTGTCTCTCTCTCTCTCTGTCAAATAAATAAATAAAAATCTTTAAAAAAAGATTTATTTGCGAGAGAGAGAGAAAACGAGCAGGAGGGGCCGAGGGAGAGAGAATCCCAAGCAGATTCCCCACTGAGCGCAGAACCTGATGTGAGGCTTGATTTCACAACATCTCACAACCCTGAGATCATGACCTGAGCTGAAACCAAGAGTCAGATACTTAACCGACTGTGCCACCCAGGTGCCTCTCTGATTGCCATCTTATAGGTGAAGTGACTTGCCTCAGCACCCCAGGCTGACTCAAGGATTAGACCAGGAAGAGAGCTGGCCTAGCCAATCTTGGCTCAGCGTAGAGAAGGAACTCAACTAATGTTCTTAGAAATGGATGGATAGACACATGACTGGCTGGCTAGGTAGATGGGCTGGGGGAGGTGGATGGATGGATGCATGCATGCATGGACAGATGGTTAGACAGGTTACTCGGACAATTGCCCAAGCTAGATTTTGAGTGGAACCCACCACAGCTAGATCTGTTCAACCTTCCTCCCGTAGAAGGGAATCTCTCTTCTCATCTCTCTTGTGAATCTGGGCCCCAATTCAGCCTCCAGAGTCCCATGAAAGGGAAACAAGCTTCTCAAAGTCTCCCTAAGAACCATCTCTGGGTTTCAGGAGTTTTGCAACAGACCCCATACCATCATCAGCCTCTCGATCCAGAAACCCAACTGTCATAAACTTCCTCTTTCTGCCATGCTCCTCCTCCCCCATTCCACTGCCCAGGTATCCCTGGGATGCATCTTCTCCTTACCCGCCCTGTTCCACTTGATTCAGACGTCATCATCTCTCCTCTGGACCACCTCCTCAGCCTCTTAGCTGGTCTCTCTGCTTCCAGACTTGCCCGTTTGACAGACAACCCCCCCTTAAAGAGACCATTCTAAAATGCAGAACAGGCCCTTCCTGATCTGAGCAGAGGCTCCACATTCTCTCAGACGCATCCTGGATTTGTGGTCACGCACTGGAGACCTTCCCTGACTCAACACTATGCAGCCTTTCCAGGTTTCTCTCCTGTTACTTCTTCCATCACATGCTCCTTCTCCTCCAAATGCCCCCAAGACCCACAGACAGACCCACAGACATCCAGATGCATGGCAAGGCTACTCCACGGGGAGTCCTGTCAGGCAAAAAGGAGGGAAAGGGGCTGGAGCTCCTGGGACCCTGGGAATAAGGTGCCTAAGTGGCATCAGTGTCTCTGCCTGGGGGCAGATGATGTGCCATGGCTGGGTTTGGGTCTCTTTCAGGCTGAGTTTCAGTGTGGGGAAAGGGAAAGCTTGACCACAGACTCCCCCAGCAGAGCTGACGATTAGTAATTAACTGGGAGGAATCTCAGGGGGGAGGTTAATTGGGGAACAGAGGGAGGGCAGCTAGGGTTTTGGGACTTTGCCCTTGACCCAAGGGTATAAAGAGGAGGGTCCCAGCTCTTTCTCAGGCCCCTGGGGCTTCCTTAAGCAGCTGAGCAGGAGTTGAAACACGGAACCCCAAGGTAAGCTCAGGGCTCCCCCCTCCCAAACCCATCCCCAAGTCTTAGTAGGCAATAACCTATCACCCTTGCTCCCTCTCCTCTGCCCTAACTGCTTCCTTTTCCTGTACCCATAACATCTTGGTCCCAGTCCAGCCTGGCTTACCCCCCCAAAGTAAAGAGGACTCATGCTCTTCCAGGGCTTGGAATTTAGCTCAGGAGCGCCACCCCCCCCCCCCCCCCCCCCCCGCCAACCCCACCAAACAGCCAAGGGCCCTTGGGACAATATAGGGGTCTGGGGTATGGGTTGCTGATATAGGCCGGGGTACTCCCACCCCAACAACCAAGAACTCCCGGGGCAGTTCAGGGGGCCCTAAAGCAATCCAAGGGCTTCCCAGATTGGAGATAGAATGGGGAAACTTCCTTACCTAAACCAGTCCTGGTCTGAAACTCATTCGTGGGAGAAAGGCCATCAGTGTTCGTTTGTTGCTGGGAGGGAGGGAGGAAAATGGGGAAAGAAGTTCATTTGTGAGGGGAACCCAGGGACTTGGGATCCAGGCCAGTGGACCCTTCCCTGAGTGCACGTCCAGCTGGTCGCATGAGCCAGGTGTCCAGGGCTCCTCACGGCTCTCAGGATGACCAGAACTCCCACATGCACAGCCTTGGCCCACATCTGCAAGCTCTGCTAACACCCGTCCTCTGGTCCCCTGCAGCTGCAGGGCACTCCCGGTTCCTTCCCCTCCCGGGGCCCCTGCACACATGCCCTTTTCCCTTGCCATCCATCGGGCAACTCCTACTCATGTTCAGCTCAGCTTGATTGTCTCTCCCCTCCACCCCTTGCCATGGGGAACTCAGGTGGCACTTGTATCTGTCATTAGAACACTTTGCCCCATTGCCACTTTCTATTTGAGGGATTATTTCATTGACCTCTGTCTCCCTGAGAGACTTGGAGTTTTCTGGGGGCAGGAGTTGTCCTTGGACTTAGTTATCGCTGTACCTCAGCATCTAGCTCAGTGCCTAGGACAGAGGAGATTCTCAAGAAATACTCGCTGAATGAATGAATACATGAATCTGGGCCGAGTACCTGAGTGTGCCTCTCTGGCATATGTGGGGGTAGAGGGTGCGCTTCATTGGGTATGTGTTTGGAATCACACACTGTGGGTACTTGTGCATGTAAGTACGTGGGTGTGGATGTGGACGGTGGGTGAGTGAATAGGTTATGTGTGAGTCTCCAGGATGCTGTCAGTTAGCATCGCTGCCGCCCCACAGTGTGTGCCCAAGATGATGTCCTATGGAGAAAGGCTGGGGGGCCCTACTGTCTCCCCACTCCCAGTCCGAGGGGGACACATGATGCGTGGGACAGCCTTTGCCTATGTGCCCAGCCCACAGGGTGAGTACGGCTCCCATCCCTGGACCCTGTGTGCCCACAGTTGCTCACGTCCCCGGTGAGGTCTCCACCCCTCTGCTGGCCCACCTCCCAAAACCTGCCTATCCCAGGGCCTCTGGGAACTCCTGACCAGCGTCCCTCCACAGTCCTGCATAGGATCCCAGGGACCCCCGCCTACGCCTTCCCCAGCCTGGGCGCTGTGGCCCTTACTGAGCACAGCTGCCCCTACGGGGAGGTTCTGGAGCGCCATGACACCCTGCCTGCCAAGCTGGCCCTGGAGGAGGAGCAGAAGCCAGGTGGGCCTGGGCAGGGGGTGGACAGCAGGGGCGGCAGCACTCAGTGCCCTGGCCCCTGGCCCCTGTGCTCACGACTGGCCCATCTCCAGAGCCTGGGTTGGCCCAGAAGCTGCGCCGGTCTGGCCTGACCCTCCTCAAGGTGCCCCTGATGCTCGCCTTTCTCTACCTCTTCGTCTGCTCCCTGGATGTACTCAGCTCCGCCTTCCAGCTGGCTGGAGGTAGGGCCAGAGGAGGGGACTGGGACAGGGTTCCTGAAGGGCATCAGGCAATGCTGGCTCATGCTCCTCAGGGAAGGTGGCTGGTGACATCTTCAAGGACAATGCCATCCTGTCCAACCCAGTCGCGGGGCTGGTGGTGGGGATCCTGGTGACTGTGCTGGTGCAGAGCTCCAGCACCTCCACGTCCATCGTTGTCAGCATGGTCTCCTCTGGCTGTAAGTTGGCCCACCGGGGCTAGGGAAAGAGCGCAGGGGCCTGCGGGGGCTGGAGGGGGCTGAGGTGGTGTGTCTGGGCTGGCGGCCAGGGGGAGAAGTGGGGCCAGGGAGCTAAGAGCAAGGGCAAGAGCAGGACTCCAGCATCTCCCACTCTGTCTTCTAAGGCATGGCCAGGAGTAGTCTCAGCCAGAAGGAGTGCCTCAAGATCTGGAAAGGTGGCAAATGGGGAGTCCTGCCCCAGGAAGGCTCAGCTCCATATCACCACATAGTCACTTATTCCATCGGCCAGGGAAACAGACTCTGCTGGAGATATACATAGGATTTATTGCAAGGAATTGGTTTACATGATTGTGGGGCTGGCTAAGCAAATCCAAACTCTGTAGGGCGGGTTGTTAGGAAGGACACGCTGGAACTCTTGGGTAGAAGCCAATGCTGGATAGACTCAGTTTTGCTCTTAAGGCTTTTAATCTCACTGGATGAGGCCCACCCAGATTATCCAGGCTAATCCCCTTTACTTAAAGTCAACTGGTTGTAGAGGTGAATCACACCTGCGGAATACCTTCACAGCAGCATCTAGCCTAGTGTTGGATCAAATGACTGAGTGCCATAGCCTAGCTAAGCTGACTCACGAAGCTAACCATCACACTTGTGTACATGTGCACACACGAGCACAGATCTGCATTTGCATGCAGGACATGGGCCCTCATATACATATGTGCACACGCAGTGCATCTGCTCACCGTGCACGCACACACATCACATGTGCCCGCATGTACCTGTGACATCAAGGCTGGGCAGCATCGTGGCAGGACTGGGGGCTGGGACATGGGCAGCAGGTCTGGAGGGAGATGTTGCAGGGGCAGGAGCTGGGTGGCCCTCACACAGTTAAGAGGTCCCCTCTTCTACTAGTGCTGGAGGTGAGCTCTGCCATCCCCATCATCATGGGCTCCAACATCGGCACTTCTGTCACCAACACCATCGTGGCCTTGATGCAGGCGGGGGACAGGACTGACTTCCGGCGGTGAGGGGGTAGAGTGGTGAGGGGCCTGTGTGTGTCGGGGGAGGGTGGTCCCAGGTGCCAGGAGCCCCCAGCATAAGTGCATCCTGGCCCCGGCCTGCCCTGCAATATGGCCTCCCTGCCCAGGGCCTTCGCAGGGGCCACGGTGCATGACTGCTTTAACTGGCTGTCGGTTCTGGTCCTGCTGCCCCTGGAGGCTGCCACTGGATACCTGCACCATGTCACTCGACTGGTGGTGGCCTCCTTCAACATCTGTGGCGGCCGCGACGCCCCTGACCTGCTCAAGATCATCACAGAGCCCTTCACCAAGCTCATCATCCAGGTGGGGGCAAGGCTGGCATGCGGTGGGGGCTGGGGGGGATAGTAAGCACCCCCTCTCACCCCCACCCACATCTTGCACACAGCTGGACAAGTCTGTGATTACCAGCATTGCCACCGGCGACGAGTCCCTGAGAAACCACAGTCTCATCCGGATCTGGTGCCATCCAGACCCCACGGAGGTGAGTCTCGGGCCTGGCCACAAGTAATTCTGTGCCAATCCTTCCCAGTCTCCCAGTGGCTTGAGGCAGCTATTAGCAATCACCTCGAGTCGCATGTCATCGATCTAGCCCAGTGGTTCTCAAAGTGTGGACCAGCAGCTCCTGTAGCACCTGGGAACCTATTAGAACTCCAAGATATTCAGCCCTTCCCTAGACCTACTAAGGTCTAGGGAAAACATATCAGAAAGAACTTGGGGGGTGGGACGCAGCAGCCTATGTGTCAACAAGTCCTCTAGGTCTGCTCCGTGCTCAAGTTTGAGAACCACTGATCCGGCTCTACCTTCTGGCTTCACAGGTAGAGGACAGGCTCCGAGAGGCTTGCCGGAGCTTGTCCTGCCATTTCAGGGCCCTGAGGACAGGTCTAGCAGTCTAGGGCTCTCTTCTCCCCGCTAGGGTGCCAGGGGGAGTCGTGATTCAGCTGTGCCATGTTTTGAGGCCCAGGTAACATGGGGAGGAGGCGGTGAGGAGGTTATGAGGGTGCCTGGGGAAGCTGAACAAGCAGGAACAAGACAAGTGGGCCATGTGGAGACCTCACTGGAGACACGACAGCCACTGTACTCTCGTCGGGGCTCCTTCCCTAGGAGACTGCCACAGGCATGTGTCCATGAGTCCTTCTGCACCATTTCCCCGGAATGGAGATGTGTTTGGACCAGTAGCACACCTGTGGACCGGCCATGACACCAGGCTCACAAGAAAGCAGGCCATTGGCATACTTTCTCACTCAGCCAGGGAAAGGGAAGTGCTTCATCAAAACCATAATCCACGGTATTTGCTTCTCCTTAATTATCACATACAAGAGGCAGCTCCATTCAGAACAGAGAGAAGGAAACCTGAAGTCCAAGGCTCAGCACGGCCTGGACCCCTCATCCTTCCCACTTGCTACTTGATGTCACCGGCCCTTGATCCCAGCGTGAACAGAGAGCATCCTTTCAACCCGCCCTCTGTGTGGCTCCTTCGCATCTGAGCACCTGAGCATCTGAGCACCTGAGCATCTGAACATCTGGGCCTCTGGGCATCTGAGCACCTGAGCATCTGAGCAGCTCTGGTTCAGCACTTCTGAGAGTTCTAGGCAGTCTGACATCAAAAAGCTCATGCGGGCAGCCTTAGGCTGGCTTTGTGACCCCTCAAACACAGTGCCGCCTTCTCACCAGCCCCCTGGGCACTCTCTGAGCTCTCTAAATTGCCCAAATCCTCTTCACTTCATAGCAGAATCTGGATGACACAGAAATCACACCGCTTGATCTTTACAGGAAACAAGCCACGGGAGGGAGCTCCTGGGCTTGTGGAGTCCCTCCCTCGGCTGACAGAGCTGCTGCCCACCTGCAGCCGCGCCCAGCAGCTCGCCCCTGGCAACATAGCGCCGGACGTAGCCTGCCCCTGACGGAATCCTCACGAAGTGTTGATGAGGTGGACATGAGCATCCCGTCTCCCACTCATGTGAAGTCAGCCATCCAAGTTCACTTGGCAGGGGGCTGTCCCCACTGCGCCCTACGCCACTAGCCTGAGCACTGGCCTTGCAGCCCAGTTCTCCTGGAAGAACAGGTCCTCCAGAGCAGTATCCAGATGGGATTTCCCGGGCTTGAGAGTAGCTGAGGGGTGGCATCCAAGCTCCCTGTTCTCACCCTCTCTCGAGGTCATGTGGAACACGGCTCCGCAGCCCAGTGCCTGCTCCGGCCATGTGTACTCGTGGCTCCTCCTGCACCAGACTCCAGCTTGTTCTGTGGCCACCGAGTCTCCCTTCCAACCTGTCCTTGTGGCCTCCAGCTTTCACCCAACTGGACACCCAACCTCGCCCAAACCAGCCTCCGAGGAACCCAGTCACCAAAGACGGTATTGAGAATCTGACGGTTTCCAGATGGCGGAAGAAAACCCAGACGCAATTTTAATGTTCCAACACCTCTTGACCCTCCAGGCCTACCCCTGTCCTGGGAATTACCTTCTTATGTACTCACACTATGGATTGTCAACCATACTTGCCTGGCTTAAACAAGCATCCTTTGAGGACTTGCAACCAGGGAAATAGGATTTATCACTGGCCCATTTTACAGGCTCAGAGAGGCTTGCCCAAGTCCATACCATTGAGGTAAAATGAAAATCCTGGTGGAATCTGGAGCCCATGCTTCTGAACCCCCATCTCGCTGCCTCTTCCAGAAGCCAGCCTGGTGTCCCACCATATGTGTCCATTTCCCACTCTGCCCATGGGGCCTGAATACCGCCAGGCGACCGCAGCGGCCCAGAGACTGCTCCAGGGGCGGTAGGTGCTGCTCTAAGAAGGAGTTCTCCTCTTTGCCACCAGATGGCGCTGCTAGCACGGTGATTTCTGCTTCCAGAAAAACAAAGCCCTTAGAGCCCCTCTTCCCCTGCAGGCTGAACTACAGCACAGGCCCACATCCTGTGTGTTTCTCCCCAGGGAAAGGATTCTTGGAGCCTGACAGTGTTCTGTGAGCTTAATCATGTCTTTCAGTTCCTACTGGCACTTAAATCCTAACTCTCTTCCAAGATTCCTCAAAACTAGCCCCTGGGAAGAGGTGGGCAGCATTACAGACCTCAGGCTGCAGGGAAGGAAATTGTGGCCCAGAGAGGTTAAGTGTTTGGTCCAGTGTCACACAGCTGGGAGTGGCTCAGCTGGGGTTTCAGCTTAGGGCTCCTGGGGCTCATTTATTCTGTTCTTCCCACAGATTTCACCACCCCCAGGCCCAGGAAGGATGGGCACATCTAGGGGTATGTTCCAGACCCTGGGCTGCCCAGTTATTTGTCAAGGCTAGAGCTCCCACCTTCCTGACAAGGAAGCCCTGGGCCTGCTCCCTCCCCTCGCTCAGTACCCACCCCAGCCTGACTGTGCAGCCTACCCACTCTCTGGCATCCCCACCCCTACTCCTCTCTCACACTTTTCAGTCTCTGCATCCCCCACCCCCATCCCTATGAGCTCAGCCAGAGCCACACAGTCCTGGCAGGAAGGTCAAGTGTCAAAACCCTAGGGGCCTTAGCCCTCAGCCTTGCCCTGCCCTAACACAGCCAGCCCTGAGTGGGACACCCCCCCACCCCCGGGCCCCGTGAAGTTCCTCCCCTAAGAGACCCTAGGCCCAGCCAGGTCAGTGGGGCACAAGCTGGTCAGGCACGCATTCATCTCAGGGATCACCTGCCTCCCAGGGCTCCAGGCTGGTCCACCATGGTCTTCCCCAACAGGGCCAGGACCCTGAGACACACCAGCAGGAGCCATTGATCCTGGCCTAGGACGTCAACCTCACACAAACACATAAGCACACACCCTTCCCACTGTTTGATCCTACGTGGGCCGAGGGACTGAGGGGATCTAATCCTGATTAGGAGGCACGATGTCTTACTGAAGACTTACCATGAGATAAGCCTGCGGAGAGCACTTCACACACATTTTCTCCTGTAACCTTTACAACAGCTCTTTTTTTTTTTTTAAGATTTATTTATTTATTCATTTGACAGAGAGAGAATAAGCAGGGGGGAGTGGCAGGCAGAAGGAGAGGGAGAAGCAGGCTCCCCACTGAGCAGGGAGCCTGATGAGGGATTCAATCCCAGGGCCCTGGGATCGTGACCAGAGCCGAAGCAGACGCTTAGCTGACGAGCCACCCAGGTGCCCCTTTATAACAGTTCTTATGTCATCCTGCTTTAAACAGGCTCAGAGAGGTGGCATGACTTGCCCCAGGTTGTTGGTGTAAGAAATGGGACTTGCTCAGATCTGCTGGATGGCAAACACACGGCTCTCCCCCTTACACCTGGCTCTCTCCCACCCTTGCAGCGCTTACCACCGATTTTCCAGCCTGCTTTTCCAGAAGAGCCCCCCAGAGACTATTCTCTCCTGGTTTCTCAGCTTGAAGCTGTGGCCTGGGTTTGAGGGTGCCCCCAGGGCCCTGGTTGGGCCAGCTAGAACACAGACGAGCACACTGCCCCACTCACACTCATAGCAGCTCAGGCCCCTAAGAGAAACCAGATTCAAAGCCGGGCACCAGAAATAGTTCTTATCTCTATCATATATTTTATAAATGACATGGTTCGGAATAAACCCTAAAGGAGCCATGACACTGAAGTGCCGCTACCCCGCCTGAGACACGACCCTCAGCACAGGGGAGGTCCGGGGCTGTGGGATGCAGAACTTCCTGGGACCAGGGCCCATATCAGCTCCTAGAGGTGGCAGAGGGTGAATAAGGAAAAGTTGTAGCTCTGGCGTTTTGCCTGGAGCCCTGGGAGTAAGCATCCCTTTCTGGGGCTCAGTTCTTCCTTTGGGAGATGGTTTCTCCTCATCCAAGGTCAGCCCACTCTCTCCTTTCAAGGCTGGGATCCTGAAGGAAAGATAAGCCTCCCCAGTGGCATTTAAGAAAAAAATAATTCCTCAGACCAATGAGGCTGCAAAGTAGTGGTCCAGACCAACCTGGCCCTCACATAATTGTAAAGTATGGGGTTTCTCTTGTAGAATTGGGCCATTTGGCCATGCGGGGCTACTTCCCTGGATGGTGACACTGGCCTGGAGCTGAGGGGCTGCTGCCGCTATAGGCCCAACACACACTCCTCCACCACCCCACGCTTAGCCTGAGCCCCTCATTTAGGCTACCTGCCTGGCCCTGGGCCCTCTGAATTGGGGGGCCTCTCCACACTGAGGAGTAGGTGGGGGATGGAAGAAGTGTGGGGCCTGGACTTCTGCCCACCGATGGTCCCCCCACCCCCTGAACCCTAACTTCCCCATAAGGATTTTTTTTTATGATTTTATTTATTTGACAGAGAGAGACACAGTGAGAGAGGGAACACAAGCAGGGGGAGTGGGAGAGGGAGGAGCAGGTTCCCCACCGAGCAGGGAGCCCGATGCGGGGCTCGATCCCAGGACCCCGGGATCATGACCTGAGCCGAAGGCAGACACCTAACGACTGAGCCACCCAGGCGCCCCTAAGTCACTCTCCTCTTAATCTAGGCTCCCACCCCCATGCCCCGGGCAGAAGCCAACAACAGCTGGACGGTTGGAAATGCCACCATGGAGAAATGTGAGTGCCTGCGTCATGGGAGATGTGTGGCATGGCAGGGGCAGAGCTGGGCAGAGGAAGGTCTACCCCCCCAACCCCCACCACTGCTGCTACCAGGCCCAGGAAAGCTAGCTGTCAACCAGCTCAGCTCCTGGGCTTCGGCTAGGCCCTGCTGTTGAAGCTGAAGGAGGCTGGGGTGGGATCTTAGGCTCCACTCCCAAGAGGGCAGCAAAAGTGGGAGGCTGGGAACCAGTTGTAGGCGTTCAGCTCTCAGCAGCTTGACACTCCCCCCTGCCAGGCAACCACATCTTCGTGGACACAGGGCTGCCTGACTTGGCCGTGGGGCTCATTCTGCTGGCCGGCTCCCTGGTGCTCCTATGCACCTGCCTCATCCTCCTCGTCAAGATGCTCAACTCTTTGCTTAAGGGCCAGGTGGCTAAGGTCATTCAGAAGGTTATCAACACTGGTAAGCCCCCAAGAACTGGGTGTGCGGGCCCCAGGATGGGACCTTCCAAATCTTACTAAGTCCCACCGCTGCCTTGCTGTGTGATCTGAGTGAAGCCCTGCCATCTCTGAGCCTCGGTTTCTCCCTGTGAACAAAGAAGGGGTTGGGTTGGGTGTAGATCTCAGGCTCCCGAGGTGCTGGCAGCTGGGGATCCGCAGCCGCCTCTGGCTGTGGTTCCATTCGAGTAGGTGGCTCGAAACAGATTCTCAGAGGCCACTGACTCATTCAACAAGTACTCACAACATCCATGTGCCCAAGCATGGGGTAGTGCCAAGGATACAGAGCTGAGCCACAGAGATGGATCCTACCTTCAGGGGACTCCCAGCCCAGAGGAGGAGATGGATGTACAATGAAAAATAAATGGTCCAGGGGGGATACATTCAGATAGAGGAGTGACCGCCAAGGAGAAAGCAAAAGTGACAAATAGAGAATATGGAAGAAGCTGCTTTCAATGGGCAGTCAGCAGTCTCTGTGAGGGAGCCAAAATGAGGAGTAGTAGTCAGATGTGGCTGAGGGGTGTTCGGTGCAGAGGGAACAGCAGGTGCAAAGGCACAGAGGCAGGGACCAGCTGGGCAGAAAGGTGGCCAACAGTGCGGTGGGAGCTCATTGAGCGAGGCAGGGAGAGGTCGGCAAGGTAACAGGGATGGAGCAGACCATAGGGCCCCCACAGGCTGTGTTCAGAGGCTGGACTTTATTAAGGGTAATGGGGGCCCTTGAAGGATTGGGGCAGGGGAATGACACCATCTGATTTTCATCTCAAGCTTCATTTCAGTCTTTGGGGACAGTGCCTGGCCCTGGCAGAGGCTGCATAACAAATACTGGAGTCAGGTGCCTTTGTGGATTCAGGGGAGCTTAGGGACGGGAGAAACAAAGTTGGCCAGAGGGCCAAGGGTCAGGGAGGGCTTTTCAGCAGCTGTGGTATCTGCACTGAGCCCCAAGGAGGAACATGTAGAAGCAAGAAGGATATTCCGGGCAGAGGGAACAGTCGAAGCAATGATGTGAATGAACCAGGCTGAGAAGGGCCTTTAACCCAAGATCAAGGAGGGCGAGTAGAAGCCACTGCAGTTGAGCAGGGGACTGCACTGACAAGGCCCCACCTGGAAGCAGGCATCCAATCCCCTCCTCCCTAGGGGAGGCCCTGGCTACTCTGTCAATGCCCTCCTACTGACCCTGCTGGGACCGGTGTGTCCTCGCAGACTTCCCCGCCCCCTTCACCTGGGCCACAGGCTACTTTGCCATGGTAGTGGGTGCCGGCATGACCTTCGTTGTCCAGAGCAGCTCTGTGTTCACCTCAGCCATTACCCCACTCATTGGTGAGTGCCCATGGCAAGGCGGGGCGGGGGATGGGCAGGCTGGCAGGGAAAGGGCTGAAGGAGGGGCCTGGGGAGAACCTATCCTCTGCGTCTGCCCCCAGGCCTGGGTGTGATCAGCATCGAGAGGGCCTACCCCCTCACGCTTGGCTCCAACATTGGCACTACCACCACGGCCATCCTGGCTGCACTGGCCAGCCCCAAGGAGAAGCTGTCCAGCTCCTTCCAGGTGCGTCTGGGAGGGTGGCTGCCAGGGGCAAGACAGGGCTGGGACTGAGTCATGGCAGCTGACCCAGGGTGGGACACCATGTAACAAAGTTTTTGACTGCCTACTAGGGGCCACCCACTATGCCAGGCTCTGTGGAAACCACACAGGGCAAAGTCGGCCTGGTGCCACCTCCAAGACCTTAGCACCTACCAGGCACAAATTACTCAGATAATCACACAAACAACAGCTAGTGGGATTTGCACTCTGAGGAAGGGCTGCAGCATGACAGGGGCTGGCCCATTCTTGGGGTCGAAGGACAAGTAGGGGGGGCAGATGGCAAAGGGGTTGCTGTTCTAGGAGCAAAGGAGTAATGACAAGCCTGGGGCTGGGGCCAGGGCTCGGACCAATCAGAAGGCCAGAGCTGCCGAGCCAGAAACTATTATGCATCTCTTTGCTGCTGGGTTTGGGCAGGATCTGCTGGGCAATTTGCAAGAGGGGTCAGTGGGGGGAAATGTATAGCATTAGGGCAGCATTTATTTACCACCTGGTCCAGAAGTGTGTCTCAGTATTTTACTAGGAGCACATCAGCTCTGACTTTCCTGCTGCCCAGGCCAGGCCAGGCTCCGCTTATCTACCCCTGCTGGCATGACGGGGAGCCAGCGCCCACACCCACCTCAGCCCCTCTGCCCTCTCCTCTACAGATTGCCCTCTGCCACTTCTTCTTCAACATCTCGGGCATCCTTCTGTGGTACCCGGTGCCCTGCACGCGCCTGCCCATCCGCATGGCCAAGGCGCTGGGCAAGCGCACCGCCAAGTACCGCTGGTTTGCCGTTCTCTACCTCCTCCTGTGCTTCCTGCTGCTGCCCTCGCTAGTGTTTGGCGTCTCCATGGCAGGCTGGCGGGCCATGGTGGGTGTGGGCGCACCCTTTGGGGCCCTGCTGGCCTTTGTGGTGCTCGTCAGTGTCCTGCAGAATCACAGCCCCAGACACCTGCCCAAGTGGCTGCAGACGTGGGACTTCCTGCCCCGCTGGATGCACTCCCTGCAGCCCCTGGACCACCTCATCACCCGCGCCACTCTGTGCTGTGCCAGGCCTGAGCCCCGCTCCCCTCCGCTGCCCACCAGGGTGTTCCTGGAGGAGCTGCCCCCCGCCACCCCGTCCCCCCGCCTGGCAGTGCCTGCTCGACACAATGCCACCCGCCTCTAGCCTGCGGCCCGAAGTGCCACTGGGGGCAGGGAAGGGCCTGTGCTTGGTGCCCACTGTGGAAGGGCAGAGGGGTGTGTCCGTGCACTGTGGGCATGGGCCTGTCCTTGTGTGGGTCCTCAGAAGTCTGGGCTCGTGTGACTGAGAGTCAGTGTGTGGTGTGGGGGGGGCATGTTCAGGTGAGACTGTGTGTCATCCTGCATGTGTGGACTGATGCACCCGTGGGGAGCTGTGTGCAGGCTGCGGGGTACCTGGCTATGATTTTGAGTCCTTGACCCACAAGGGGGTCTTGTGGGGAGGGCTGCGCTTGGTTCTCCTGTACACACAAGTCTGACTCGGCGGAGCGGGAGTAAGGGTGGGTCTGCGGACATGACTTGCAGCTGTTTGTTCGTGCAGAGATGTGGGTGCCTGAGTCACTGGCTGAGTTCTCACCCCTCCCGGTCACCTCCCTTCCTCCATTATACCACTCTCCTCATCCTCACCCGGCTGTTCTGCAGCACCGCCACAACCCCCTTTCCCGGTACTGCATGATGAAAAAGGAATTAAATTCTCATTTTGCATTTACAAGTCTGTGTGCCCTCCATCTGGGGAGGGTGGTAGACCATGGCTTGGGGTTCAGCAGCGCTATTTCCTGCAAGCTAACCCCAACAATCCACCTAACCCTGCCTTAATGAGTCCAACCCCTGATTCAGACTTCCTGGGAGTCCCTCGTAGGGCCTGGGACCACCCCAAGGCAAGTATAAGGAGGGTTCTCTGCGCCATCCCCACCCACCCCATCCAGCTGACTTCCTCTAGTCTCTCCCTGCCTCTGGACTCCCCTCCCCTTTCTGGGATAAGATTAGTGTTCCAGAAAACTAGTGACAGGTGGGGGCTTGTCAGGAGACACTGAGGTGGGGCAGGGAAGGTGAAAATGGGCAAGAGAGGCCATACCCTGGGCCCCAGCACATATTGGGCAGCGACCAGCCACCCTCCCTCCCACCTTTGTCCTTTACCTTTGGGCAATAAACCGAGCCTCACTTAAACCCATCCAAGATTTTCAATTCCTCCCTTTCCACAGGGCCCCTGGAGCTGAGGCCTGCAGAGTGAGGGTCAAGGGGTGGGCGATACCTAAGTTCTTCTTTCTCCAAGGGGGGAGGAAGGCCCTAGGGCCCCAGACCTCATTGTGATGGTCTTGGACATGTGCTCTCCTTCCACTCCCTCTGGGGTATGTGAGAGGAGATGCAAGAAACTGGGAGCCCCAGAGCTGCTCTCCAGCTACCGGCCCTACTCCACCACCCACTCACAACACTTCCAAAGGCTTCCTCCTGCCAAGTGGAGGGGGTGAGAAGTACACCGGCCTCCAGCCTGACTCCCTGATCCCATAGGGCCTACCTGGGGTGCACCTGGGGAGGGATGTGGGAGGGGCTCCCTTTATAGTGTGTCTTGCACAGAGGTGTGCAAAGTTTTTTGGGAAAGGACTCTGGGAAGCCAGGCCAGAGGCCTCTGCAGGGCACTCATGGATAAGAGGGCCATGTCTAGGGTACAGGAGGCTGGGAAGCCTCTGGACTCAGAATCCCAGCCCCATCAGGTACCATCCCCCCCCCCGCAAGAATCTTCCAGGGAAACTGGTTTTGTCATCTGCAACTGCCCTGCTCGCAAACATAGGATGAAGCAGCCACGCCCAGCAGTTTATTTTGGCCCAGCTGCACGGCACCCTAGCTGTCCTGCTAGGTGCCCTGCATGCGTAGCCCCTTGATCAGTTTATGCACTGTCTTGTTGAGGATGCCCCCGTGCACGCCGCGCCGGCCCATGAGCACGAGGAGCACACGCGGGGTGTGGCCCACGCAGACCGCGCGCCCATCCAGCCCTTTAGTGCGTGCGTCCAGAACTCCATCGCCCTCAGATAGCAAGTGGTCGCGGATGACGCAGCAGCGGCGGCCTGCCACGCTCAGGCCTGACTGCAGGAAGGTGCACCGGTCAGGACCTGTGAGCACACCCACCTCTTGCGGTGATATGGCAGCCAGAAGGCCTCCGGGGCGCGATGCCCACACGCAGCGATTGTCCGAGTGACCCACGATGGCCACGTCGTCAATGCGCTGGTCCCGCAGCACCGCACTGATATAGCTTTTCCAGTCTCCCATTCCGGCTCAAAGCGCACCCCTGGCGTCTAGGTGCACCTTCGCGCGATATCTGGCTGTTCCACGTGCCTGGAACCGCGGATACTGTGACGCACGTCGGGCGGAGTTGTGACACTGAGGCATGGCGGTGTCACAGAGAGGCTACGTACACTGGAGAATGTATACGTGGGGTGAGGGGAAGGTGTCGTGAAGTTGTAAAGTTAGCCTAAAAGAGGAAATTGCGGAGCGCCTGGGTGGCTCAGTCGTTAAGGGCCCGCCTTCCGCTCAGGTCATGATCCCAGAGTCGGGGGATGGAGACCCCCAGTCGGGCTCCCTGCTCCGCGAGAAAACTGCTTCTCCCTCTCCCACTCCCTCTGCTTGTGTTCCCTCTCTTGCTGTGTCTCTCTATGTCAAATAAAAAAAAAAAATAAAAAAAAAAAAAAAAAGAGGAAATCACCTAAGTCTAAGCCCCCCCTTGAAAAACTAACTTAATTGGCTCACCAAGCACAGTGTACACGTGGGTTTAAGAACAAAAAGAAAGAGAGCAAGTCTGGACAGCCAGACCTCTCAGCCTGGTAACCATTCAACCCCCAGGATTCCCAGTTTGGTTCATCAGACTCTCCTGGAAATCTGTTAAACAGAGTGCTGGGTCCCAACTCAAAAGAGTTTCTGATTCAGTAGTATGGGAGGCAGCCAGAGAATATGTGTTTCTAACAGGTTTCCCGTTGATGCTGTGGGTGGTGGTCCAGGCACACTTTGAGCCCCACTGCCCTAGTGCAAGTTGGGGGGATGGTGTCTTCCACATTGCCAGCTCTGAGTCCACACCAGTGTTTTAATGTTAAGCCTTTCTGACCATGGTTCTCAGCCTCCACTGCACATGGAATCACCCGGAGAGTTATAAAAACGTACACTACCCATACCATACCTCATCCCTAGAGATACTGACTTAATTGATCTGAAGTGGATCTCAGGCATAGGTTCAGAAAGCTCCCCAGATGATTCTGGTGTACAGTAGAGGTGAGAACCTCTGTTCTATAAACTTCAAATGTTAATAAGTTAGTTTCAAACAAGGAATAATATATGGAATCACCTTGCTCAGGGTTTGGTACACAGTACCACTTAGTAAACATCAATTGGACATGAATCTCTAGATCTTGCTTAAGATTTCAATAGATCCTGTTCCCTGAGGGGTGTGGAGAAGTGCACCGGTTTACTGTCTTGGCATTTCCCATCGGGGCCCCTGCAGAGCTATGCCTCTCAAGCATTTTCAAAAACACTTTATTGAGTGCCTACTCCATGCCTGGCGCCGGGCTGATGGTGCTAAGAGGAATGGAACACCATCCTTGCCGTCCATAATCATGGGCCAGCCACCCTTCCACTCCAGAATCGCCCACGAGGGAAGGATGAGTCCCTGGACGGTCAGGAATTGGTGTGCTCCTGGATCCAGTTCAGGTAGCTGGCCACGTCGGTGTACACACCTGGCTTGTAGCGGTCGCCACAACCCGAACCCCAGCTGATGATACCTCGCAGGATGAGCTGGCTCTCTGAGGCCTCGTCCTCACACACTAGCGGGCCCCCGGAGTCACCCTGGGTCAGGGACACGTGGCTCAGCGCCCTTGATCTGGGGTCTGCACTTGACCGGGTGGAGGAGGGCGTTGAGCCCAATCCGGCCCATAGGCTCACCTGGCAGGCGTCGGTGCCGCCCTCGAGGAAGCCAGCGCAGAGCATGCCGGGGGTAAAAGAGGCTCCGTGCACGTCGGGGGCGGAGCAGCGCTTGGAAGGGATGAGCGGCACCTGCGCTTCCTGCAGGAAGCTGGAATATTCCCCCGCCCCTGCGAACCGAGAGCGCTTTCCTCACACCCCTCGCGACTCTGCTTGCAGCCCACTAATTGGCCTTTATCGCAGCAAGCCCGTGAGGAAGAGAGTTGCTGTTAACACCATTTCATAGACAAGAAAACTGAGACCAGAGAAGAACCGGGATTTGAATGCGCGGGGCGGAGCAAGACTGCTTTGGAACCCCACCCCCACTTCCCACCCAACGACTCAGAACAATGCTCCCCAATTAGTGAACCGACTGCTCCAGCGCCAGGCCGGCATCCTTGTTAGCCCTTGCATCGCAGCGCCCAGAAAGAACCAAGAGAAAGTGTGATTCTCTCTGTACCCCTTAGGAGACTTGGGGACACTGCCCCCCCAGCAGTGAAGCCCAGGCCCTGGCAGGAGGGGACTGCAGAGACAAAAGCCCTGCAAGTCCTCCCAACCCACGAGGTCAACGGCACCTGTCCCTAGTGGTACCAAAACTGCGGGTTTCTCTCGCCTACCCCAGTGGCCAGAGGTGTCCCTGCCGCCCCCAGCCGTTCTGCCTACCCTCGAACTGGTGGCCCCAGCCGGCCACCTCGCAGAGCGCGGCCTCGGGCTCGGTTGAGCTGGTAGCTCCGCTCGGCAGGCACACCGGCTGAACGAAATGCGACGGGAGCGCGCACTGGCCGTCCGCTCTCTCCTGCAGGCGCAGCAGCGCTAACGCAGGCGGGGAGGAGGGTGAGACCCGGGCGCCGAGACTCGGAGCCCTCCCCCTCCTCCCCCCTGGTCGCCGCGGCGGTGCCCCCACGCACCCAGGTCGTGCTGGTAGGTGATGGGCGAGAAGGCCTCGTGCAGGAGGTACGCGCGCACGGCCAGCGTCTGGCACTGCTCACAGCTCTGGTTATGGCGGTCCTGGCCGAGCACCACCGTCAGTTCCTCCGGCGCGGGCCTGCGGGTGGAGGGGGTGCGGGGGGAAGCGCGTTCAGAGCCGGCCACTGCCCTCCTACTCCTGAGCCCCTTGCTGGGTTTCAGCTTACTCTTGGGGGCGCTGGGGAAGGGTGGGGGGAGGTAGGGCAAGGGTTCGGGTGTCGCGCGGAAGCTGAGCACGTAGGAGAGAGGAGCTAGGGTCGCGGGCGGGGCGCCGGGCGGGCGGGGACTCGCCGGTCCTGCAAGCAGTGAGCCGCCGTCAGCACCCAGCAGGAGGCGATGAGGCTGCCGGCGCAGAAACTGTGGCGCCAGTACAGCGCGGCGATGTAGGGGTGCGCCCCGGGCAGGGCCACCAGTCCCCCGACAACGCGGCTCGCCGAGGACAGCCGTTTCCGGAGCCGCTGTCCGCAGCCCGAACTGGGCACTGTGGGAGCAGCCCAGGCTGAGTGCTGGGAGACGCACCAAGGGGTGGAAGGTAGTTCGCGGTGCGCCCTCTGACTTCCCGCCCCTTCCCAGCTACCTGGGGTCAGGGGCTGAGGCATCTGCAATGCTGAAAGCGAGGGCAAGGGAAGGTCCGGGTGCCCAGAGGGGACCCGGGTTGGAGACAGGCTCTGAGGAACCGCCAGGGTTGGGGCCTGGCACTGTGCCAGGCGGCAATATTCCCAGCTCAGCCGATCGCCACTCCACACGAAGCACCACGGGCGGGTGTCATTGTCCGGGTTCCTATAACCACGGGAGGGGGCGCTGTTAAAGCGCGAGGAGCCCCAGAGGGCCCTGGGACAGAGGGGGACGCCCTACCCGCCCCACCCCCACCCAGTGCACCGGCAGAAGGCATGGTTGCCCAGTCCCCAGTTAAGCGCTTGCTCTGCAGTCACTTTCTCATAGGTGGCCTCTGAGGCCCACGGTTGACACCGGGCACCCGAGAGCGCAGTCTCGGCTCTACCGCGGTAGTGAAGCCCGCGGCCGGCGTAGCAGCGCGCCTCGGTGTCTGGGAAGAGAGGAGGCTCCTTGCAGACAGGAAGCGGTATGTTTTCCCACCACCCTCTCAGCCCCTGTCCCCATTCTCCCGACTCCGGCTCCGGGAGCCCTTCCTCCCTGAGGGCGGAGCTTCTGCTTCCCCCAAAATCCCGACTCACCGACGTCGCAGATGCGTCCAGCGTAGCCAGCTGGGCACCGGCACAGGAGGTGGCCCTCCGCCTCTAAGCAGCTGCCCCCGTTGAGGCACGGGTTGGTGCGGCAGGCTGGCAGATGGAGCGCACTGAGCCACCTCTGGGCTCAGAGACACTCCCCCCACCCCCCAGAGAATTCCCCTTTCCTTGGACACACCGCCCGATTTCCTAACAGCTTCTCCTCCCGGCCTTTGGCCTTCCTCTCAGGCCAGTTCCCGAGCCGTCCACTCACCCTGGGTGGCCAGCAGCTTGCAGTGGGCATCAGGACCCTTGCACTGGCACTTGGCCACACCTGCCGGCTCAAGCCTATGCCATATTTCTTTCTCGTGGAAGAACTGGAGAAGCTGAGGCTCAAAGCACTTCTCTGGGGACAGAGGGGTGGGGGCAGTGGTCTCAAGAGAGGCTGGGATCTTGCCAAGTGTCTGGGGATCCGGAGACCTCTTCGGTAGGCCCAGGACTGCCCTGTTTTCCCGGGGCCCCCTCCCCTGGCTTCTCCGTCCCCTTACCTCTCCGGCAGTGCTTCCCAGTGAAGTGTTCTGGACAGATGCAGTGCGGGCCGTGTGGCGTGCTCACACAGGTCCCTCCCTGCTGGCAGGGGCTGTGCTTGCTGCAGTGGTCTGAGAGACGGACACAGTGCAAGGAAGAGTGGGGAGCCTGAGTCAGACAGCCTGGCTCATGGGGGCCAAGTCCCTACCCAAACCTGCTTGTCTTATGACCTTGGCACTCCCGAGTTTCCATGCTTTATTTACTCACCTGCAAAGTGGGGCTACCTTCTCCTAGCTAGAACTTTCCCCTCTGCAGGGAGGGAGGGGTCTGCATGGGCCCAGAATACCAGATGTATAGGGGCTGATGATACCCAGGAGAGTAACTAGTGGGAAGAAGAGGGCTCTGGGCCACCCCAAAGGCTGTGTATAGCACCTTTCACTTTCCTGGGCTCCAGGCAGTATGCCCATTGCTGGTCCTGCTCAAAGTTGGGGGTGGTGGCACACCTGTAGAAAGAGATGAAGCTTCCCTGCTCTGCCCAGGGGACTGGCCCATCCTTCCCTATCAGAGCCCCCTCTCTCCAAGCAGGCTTCCTTGGGCAGAAGGATGGGCAGAATCCATCTCCCACAGGCCCCTGCTCCAACCCCTCCTGGGTAGTCTTACCAGGGCCGGGGGCCAGGCCGGCCTCTGTGGATGCATTTATGGTGCAGTTGCCGGTTGTACCGGAAGGGGAAGTAGCAGGGCTCCCCTGTGACCGTGAGAACTGCAGAGATAACACACGCCCTGATGACGTTCTGCATGCCCCCTGCCCAGGTGCCACCCCTCGGGGTCTGGTTGGAAAATAGAGAGACTCTTGAAAAGATCACTATGCCTTCAAGATGGCTTCCTGCTTAAGAGCTTCAGCTCTGTAATCAGACAGCTGGAGTGGACTCCTGATTTCACCACCTACTCACTGGGTGACCTTGGGCAAGTCTGCCTCCCCCAAGAGTGCTTGCCACAAAGCAGGCACTTAATAAATACTAGCTGAAAGGAGAGGTCACTTGACCACTCTGAGCCTTGGTTTCCTCCTCTGTAAAATGGCAATGATAATAGTATGGTTGACCCTTGAAAAACCCAAGTTTGAATCACACAGGTCTGCTTATAGGTGGATTTTTTTCAATAAATACAGTACTATAAATGTGTTTTCCTTATGATTTTCTTCATAACATTTTCTTTTCTCTAGCTTACTTTATACAATTTATAATACATTTAATGTACAAAATATGTGTTAAGTGTTTACATTATCAGTAAGGCTTCTGGTCAGTAGGCTATAGCAGGCTATTAGTAGTTAAGTTTGGGGGAGTCAAAATTTCTACGTGGATTTTCTACTGCAAGGGAGGGAGGGCATCAGCTCTGCTAACCTTGTTCAAGGGTCAACCATACAGTTGAAAAGTTTCAGTTTTGCAAGATGAAAAAAGTCTGGAAATGGAGGGTGGTGATTTTGCAGGACAATAGAACGTGCTTAATACCACTGACTTGTACACTTAAAAACAACGATAGTAAATTTTATATTACGTATATTTTATAATAAAAATCACTTTTAGTGATGCAGATATAATAGTACAGAAAACATAATTTTAAATGAAAACCAAGTTAAAAACATGTCAAATGTGGTCCTATTTTTGTACAAATATATTTACATATTCATAAAAAAGAAATCTAGAAGGACATGCTCCAAAGTTTGTAGGAATATTTTTTTTAGAAGATAGTGGATTATGGAGGAATTTTTTCTTCTTTTGCATTTCTGTAATTTCTAAAGTTCTTACAATGAAAATATTGCTATTATTTTTTAAAACAGTACCGTTGAACCTCTCTGTTTGCCGCATTTGCAAATCTGCCCTCTTGCGCAAATTTATTTGTAATCCCCAAATCAATTCTCAAGGTGCTTTTATGGTCATTCACGGACATGCACAGAAAGGTGAAAAATGTGAGGTGCCTGAAACACACATCCCCAGCTGAGGTGAAACAAGGTAATGCTCTACCTCTTGTTTCGGCTCTTGTCCTGTAAAGAAGTGTCCTTTTCATGGCCTATTTAGAGCCATACTTTTTTTTTTTTTAAGATTTTATTTATTTATTTGACAGAGAGAGACACAGCGAGAGAGGGAACACAAGCAGGGGGAGTGGGAGAGGGAGAAGCAGGCTTCCCGCCGAGCAGGGAGCCCGATACGGGGCTTGATCCCAGGACCCTGGGATCATGACCTGAGCTGAAGGCAGTCGCTTAATGACTGAGCCACCCAGGCGCCCCTAGAGCCACATTTTTGAAATTGCGTGCTTCTGGTAGATGCTGTTACTGTTGAAAATAGCCCCTAGGGTGCTTGGGTGGCTCAGTCGTTAAGCGTCTGCCTTCGGCTCAGGTCGTGATCCCAGGGTCCTAGGATCGAGCCCCACGTCCAGATCCCTGCTCCACAGGGAGCCTGCTTCTGCCTCTCCCCCTGCTTGTGATCTTTCTTGCTATCTCTGTCACTATCTGTCTCTTTCTATCAAATAAATAAATAAAATCTTAAAAAAAAAAGAAAAAGAAAACGGCCCCTTGATATAGTGTTGATGTTGACATTCCTAAGTGCAAGCAGACTGTGACAGGTGCTACGAGAGTGTTTCTGTGTGAGATAAGCTTTGTGCAGGCATGAGTTATAGTGCTGTTGACCACAGCTTCGGTATTAATGAAGCAACAATATATTAAGGAAGGCATCTTGAAGGAAAAGCACACATAAAACAAGCTTTTATGTTGAGGATTGATGAAAATGTGACTGGAGCTCACAGGAACCTAATCTTATATTTCCTTTAGGAACAGCCATTCAGTATTTGCTAAATCAGTGGTCTCGGTGACTTTACAGAACATGGCAACCAGGAACGACAAGACTTGATGATCTACTTCAGAGGAGTGTTGTGAAGCTTACATGAGACAATGTCTATTGAACACTTAGCACAGAGTCTGGCACGTAGTATGCGCTCAGTAAGCATTAGCTGCTATTTTGTTGTTAAAGGCACAGTGGCACTTGCTGGGGGCCAAACCAGGAACAGGAGTAAAGGAGGAGAGAGGAGTCTTAGATGGAAGTTTAAGATGTCAATGGGATGGGGGCGCCTGGGTGGCTCAGTCATTAAGCGTCTGCCTTCAGCTCAGGTCATGATCCCAGGGTCCTGGGATCGAGCCCCGCATCGGGCTCCCTGCTCCGCGGGGAGCCTGCTTCTCCCTCTCCCACTCCCCCTGCTTGTGTTCCCTCTCTGGCTGTGTCTCTCTGTCAAATAAAAAAAAAAAAAAAAGATGTCAATGGGTTGGACAGAGAGGAGGAGGAACTCAAGTAGGTGGTCAGGCAAGGGCAGGGCACCCAGGTTGGCTTGGGCAAGAGAGAGGAAAGCAGTTTGGAAGGCTGAGGAGAGGAGGCAGAGGCTGGCAGGGGGGGCCCTAGTGCCATGCTGAGGGGCTGGGCCTGGCCTCAGTAAACCAGGCTTCTCAGGGAAAGGTCACAGTAGTTCACAATTCTAGGCAAATATTGAGTGCCTGGAAGAATGAAGGCAATGGGGAGCTGTGGCATGGCTTGAGGAGGGGGGAGATGCAGACATCCCCCATTCAAAAGGGAGCTTGGTAAATAAAAGCTAGTAGAGTTTAATCATTTACCATGCCGCAGTCTGTGGGCTGAGTACTTCACATGGATTAACTCATTTCTCGTCTACAACCCTAAGAGGTTTTACTATTACCAGCCTTTATGGTTGGGGAAATTGAAGCTTAGAGAGGTCAAGTCACTTGCCCAGAGTCACCCAGCACGTAAGTGATGAAGCCAGGATTCAGAGGCATTAAAGCTCCAGAGCCCTGCCCTGATCCTTCCTTGTCCATCAGGGGCCCTGACCTCTGTGTGGTATGACTGGTGCCCACTGTGAGAAGTACTGAGGGAGTGGGAAGAAGAGGAGAGGCTAGGGAAATGAAAGGAGACTGGCAGGCACTGGCCTGGGCACTCAGATACAGCTCAAGCCCTGCCCTCAAGGAACACACAGTTCACTATCACTCTGGGTCCCCAGTGCCCATGGGCACCAGCCCTGGCGCACAGTGGACACTCTGGTCTGAATGCCAGCCAAAGTGGGGACAAAGTGAAGAGTACCCAGGATTCCTCCCCTTGCTCCAAGGGCCCCAAATCGCCATCTGCACACTCCCCACCATACTCATTCCCACCCAAGGGTCTCTTAGGAGGTGCAGCCAGGGTACTTACCCACTGTGTGTTCATCCATTCTGTGCTTATGCTCCTTGGGGGCTTTCCAAGGTGGAATCTACAAGGGAGAGAGGAGGGCAGGGAATTTTCCCAGAAATCGTAGCTTGCCTCTGATCCCATGCCAGTTCTCAGCTTCCTCTCACATCTCAGAAATGCAGAAATTTCCGGGCGCCTGGGTGGCTCAGTTGGTTGGGCGACTGCCTTCGGCTCGGGTCACGATCCTGGAGTCCCGGGATCGGGTCCCGCATCGGGCTCCCTGCTCGGCGGGGAGTCTACTTCTCCCTCTGACCCTCCCTCCTCTCATGCGCACTCTCTCTCTCTCATTCTCTCTCTCAAATAAATAAATAAAATCTTTTAAAAAGAATGCAGAAATTTCCTCAGAAGACCTAGACCCTTCCTCTTCCCTTTGACTCCTTAAGGTCCCCTCCGCCAGAAATGAAGGCCATGTCCTCATATCCACCAGCACTGGCTGTCTCTCTCTCTCTCTCTCTCTCCTCCACCTGGGCCTTATGGGTTACTCTTGCCTTTCCAAACAGGCCTTCCAGGTGCCCAGACCGACAGGACAAGAGCAGAGGCCAAGGCTGTGATAGGGACGCCCAGGGCCAACCCAGGACAGTCCTCCTGGTTCCCGAAGCCCTCACCAAAAGTGCTGACTCCAGGCTTGCCAGCAGGGACCCCAGGAACAGCAGAGCCCTCATGGTGTCTGTCGGTTAGTCCAGCTGCTTGCCCAGGAGTCCAGATCAATAGATTGGTCAAAGGTCCCTGAGTCCTGGGAAGCAGAGATGGGTCAAGCTGCCCTCCTGGGCCTGGCAGGGCTCAGGCTGTTTGTGGAAAGCCAAGCAGAGCAGCTCCCCGGCTAGGCCGCCGAGGGCAGAGGAGTTGGGATTTAGAGTGTGTGGACAGAATGATGAGGAGCAGGTCTCCCCATCTCTTTCACAGATAGTGGGACTGGAAGCAAGAAGAGGGATTTTATGTTTCAGGTCCTCCTGAGGGGAAGTTAAGGAAATCCAAAAGAGGTTTCCTACTTCAGGGATCTTAGAGTCCATGGGAAATATATTCATATTCTGTTGCTGCCTAAAATTGACCACAAACTTTGCAGCTTAAAACAATACCCATTTATTCACAAATCTATAGGTCCAAAGTCTGGCACTGTGACTGGGCTTTCTGCTCAGGGTATCACGAAACTGATCAAGGCCAAGTTCTCTGGAAGGTCTGGGGAAAAATCCACTTCCAAGGTCATTCAGATCATTGGCAGAATTCAGTTCCTTGCATTTGTAGGACTGAAATCCCAGTTTCTTGGCAGGCTGTCAGCCAGGGGCCAGCCTCAGGTCCGAGAAGCTGCTTGTATTTTTGCCATGTGGCCCCCTCTATCTTCCAAGTCAGCAACAGAGAATCTCCCCCATGTTGACTCTCTCTCACCCTTTGAATCTCCTTTGCCAGTCAGAACCCCATTCCATTTCCGGGCTCACCTGATTAGGTCAGGCCCACCAAGGATAATCTCATTTTAAGGTCAGTTTATTTGGTACCTTCATTACATTTTCAGTATTCTTCTATAGAACATCTAGATTAGTGTTGTATTGAGTAACTAGGAGAAGGTATGCATACACCACGGATCCTCAGGACCATCTTAGAATTCTACCTACCACAGAAAGGGAGCCAAGAAAGTAAATAATCCCATGAGAAAAATGCTAAACCAAGAGCTACTACTAAGATGTGCAGTCGGAGCACAAGGGAGGGAGATGGGGTGACATTATTGTTTCTCCTGCCCAAAAACCATTTACCATGGTTCAGTAGTGACACCCTGATTTTTCCTTTGGGAACCACTCTTCCTTCATCCTCTCTGTGAGTCTCTAGTGCTTCCAGCTCTACCCTCAGTTCTAGGGCTGGGCTTGTGACCTAGGTTTGGCCAATCAGAGCATGGTAACTCTAGACCACAGCTGTTAGTTCGGGGATAAGCGTATACATGTGTGGCCCATCAGAGTCAGCCTTGGGACTTTTGCCAGGACTTTTGGGAAAAAGACACTTTCTTCCCACTGGTGTCACCAGGAATGCAAGCCTGGAGATGTTGGTGGCCATCTTTGTCACCGCTTGGGGAGAGCCAGCCTGAGAACGAAGCCTACACACAGGAAAAGCAAAACAAACAGGGAAGGAAAGATGGAGGGATGCTGTGGGAGTCAGATGTTCCCTGTTGATCCTCACCTCCTGGGATGCATGCCTTTGTATAGTCTTTTCCCACACTAAGTCAGAGTCAGAGCTGTTCTTTGTGTCCAATAGAATATGGTAGAAGCCCAGGTCATAAAAAGGATTGCAGTTTCTGCCTTGGTTTCTTGGATTGCTCACTCTGGGAGAAGCAGCTACCATGTTGTGAGAATACTCAAGCAACCCTTCAGAGAGGCCCATGTGAGGAAAAGTAAAATCACCTGCCAACAACCAAAACCAGTTTGAATGGGCCACTTTGGAAGTAGACAGTGCAGCCGCAACAACATCTGGCCTGCAACCTCATGGGAGAGAACGATTCAGCTAAGTTGCTTCCGAATTCCTTTTTTTTTTTTTTTTTTAGGTATAATTGATTCTTGAACTTCAGAAATAGTGAGAAATGATAATTGATTGTTGTTGTTTTAAGCCATAAGTGTTAGGGTGATTTGTTACCCAGCATTTGATAACTACTACAGATGGATTGATTCCTAATGACTTACCCCATCCCTCAGCTGAGGCAGGAGTGGGAATGTGATCCATACCTGGCCAATCAGAACACTGCCTCTCTCTGTCCTCAGTGATTGGTTCAAAATGAACACCTGACCCAAATCAAACCAATCAGAGGCAGCCCCAGGATTTTTGCTGGAATCTTCAAGGTAGAGGCTTTCTCCTTCCATAGAAGTTGCCTTATTGGTAAGAAGTGAGCATGGGGCTGCTGACAGCCATCTTTAACATCTCAGACAGTAAACCTGCCTGGGAATAAAGACAATGCAGATTAAAAGCAAAGTCAGAATATGGGAAAGACAAATTTTAAACGATACTATTTGAGACCTGGGATCCAAAGACACATAAAGTCAGAACTACCACCTCTTCTTTTCAGTTACTTGAACCAATAAATTCCCTTTTTTTGCCTAAGCCAGTTTTAGTTGTAACCAGAAGTCCTAACTGATGCAAGACTTCATGTATTGTTACCAGGAAGTTCCTAAAACAAAACAAAACAAAACAAAAACCCTCATGATCACTCTGAAAGTCAATAGCTTAAAGTAGGGAAATAATGACTTTAGAAGCAGGAACTGGAAGAAAAAACCAGCAGTGAACTTGAATCAGGAAACCTTCAATTCCATCTTGGCCACTGACCCCCCCCCCCAGTGTGACCATGGGTCAGGGGCTCAGCTTCTACGAACCTTTTTTTGTTTTAATTCAAGTTATTTAACATATAGTATAGTATTGGTTTTAGGAGTAGAATTTAGTGATTCACCGCTTATGTATAACATTCAGTGCTCATCACAAGTGCCCTCCTTAATGCCCCTCACTCATTTGGCTCATCACCCCACCCACCTTCCCTCCAGCAACCCTGTTTGTTCTCTATTGTTAGGAGTCTCTTATGATTTGCCTCCCTCTCTGTTTTTATCTTATTTTATTTTTCCTTCCCTTCCCCTACGTTCATCTGTTTTGTTTCTTAAATTACACATGAGTGAAATCATATAGTATTTATGGTATTTGTCTTTCTCTGACTGGCTTATTTTGCTTAGCCTAATACACTCTAGTTCCATCCACGTTGTTGCAAATGGCAAGCTTTCATTCTTTTTTGTTTTTAAAGGTTTTATTTATTCATTTGACGGAGAGAGACACAGCAAGAGAGGGAACACAAGCAGGGAGAGTGGGAGAGGGAGAAGCAGGCTTCCCGCTGAGCAGGGAGCCTGATGCTGGGCTCGATCCCAGGACCCTGGAATCATGACCGGAGCCGAAGGCAGATGCCTAACGAGTGAGCCACCCAGGCGCCCCACGCTTTCATTCTTTTTGATGGCTGAGTAATATTCGTGTGTGTGTGTGTGTGTGTGTGTTTGCGTATCTCATTTTTTTTTTTTTTTTTTTAGAGAGGGAGAGAAAGAAAAAAGAGGGGCAGAAGGAGAGGGAGAGAGAGAACCTTAAGCAGGCTCCACGCCCAGCAGGTAGCCTGATACAAGGCTCAATCTCGTGACCCTGAGATCATGACCTGAGCCAAAATCAGGAGTTGGAGGCTTAACCAACTGAGCCCCCTGGGCGCCCCCACATCTTCTTTATCCATTCATCAGTCGATGGACATTTGGGCTCTTTCCATAATTTGTCAGCCTCTATGAACCTTAATTGCCACACCTCTCTAGGGAGGGAGGAGTACTCACACTGGCCAGCTTGTTGAGATAGCTGAATGGGGATGCATTTGAAAGGCCAGAGCCTGGGGGCACCTGGGTGGTGTAGTCCTTAAGTGTCTGATGCTTGGTTCCCGCTCAGGGTCCTCAGGGTCCTGATCTCGGTGGAGGCTGCTTAAGACTCTCCCTCTCCTTCTGCCTCCCCCCGCAACCCCGCATTCTCTCAAATAAATAAATAAGTCTTTAAAAAAGAAAGGAAGAATGAACCAGAGCCTGGCGTATGGTTAGGACTCAATCTACAGAAATTTGCAAAGAAACTTTCCCATATAGACGCACTTCCCTTTCTCAGTAATTTCTACACATCTGCCCCAGTTCTCCCTGCACATCTGGGTGTCTTCCAACAACTCTGGACTAGAGCAGAAAGGCACCATCTTCTTGCCCTGGCTTCTGTCTTTGTACAGTTGGGGCATGGGTCTATGGGATGAGAAGTCGGAAGCCATCAAGTTCCTGCTCACAAATGTATGGATACCCACACACAACACCCCACTTCTCTCCAGCAGAGACTTGGGGCATACATTTCAAGAGGTGGCAGAACTGCCTGTTCAAAGACAAGTTTAGGGGATCAGAAGGGTACTCAAGCCTACCATCCTTCACTCCTCCTCAGCTGGTGGCACCATTTTTCTCCCAGTTATTCAGGGGCTGTCACCATGGAACCTTTGTACAAATGGAAGCCACTCCTTCCTCCAGACTAGTGCTATCTGGCAGAACTTTCTGTGATGATGGAAATAGTCTCTGTATTGTCCAATACGGTAGCCACACATGGCTATTGGGTCTCCTCAAATGTCACACCTTGAGACCATTCCCGCCTCACCCTTTAGTATTTTGTCTTAACGTCTCGATAGCACTTATCACTCTCTGAGACCATCCTGTTTGTTTGATTATTTATAGGACCAACCCTTACCACCCTTCTAGCATGTAGGCAGAGAGCTTGGTTATCTTCCTGACACCATTCTATTCCCCAGCACCTGATTCAATACCTGGCACAAAGCTAGTGCTCTGTATTTTTGGATGAATGAATGGATAGGGATCAGAGAAACCTGTCGGCTCCGCCTTACTCTTGCTCGCGGAGTTTGGGCAAGCCTCCGTTTTCTGTCGTGTGAAGTGGGAGTGGAGGGAGTACGATGTTGGCTTTGTTTTCTTCCAAGCTTCTGGCCTCTAGCCAGCCGCTGGACTTCTGACACTGCTGCCCTCCACCTGTAGAATGGGTGCGAGCTCACCCCAACGTCTCCGGTGGGAGCGCTGCCTTATAAGGCAGCAGAGCCGAGGGCGGGCGAGGCCGTGTGGGTGGAGAGAAATCACAACATCCGGCTGCGGGGGCAGGGCGGGGGCTGGAGGCCGAGGAGCCGCTGGGGAGGCCAACCACCTCCTCTGGACCTCTCCCCGCTTCTGATGTGCGCTCTCCAGAACGAGCCAAACCAAAGGAATACGGCTGAACACATGTCTCAAAATAGTTCGCAGTCGGCCCGCCGGAGACCCAAGACAGCAAGTGCATCCCCTACAAACCTTAGAAAAGCCAAGGCTAGTCAAAAGGACCCGGGCCGCACCCCCATCTGATGGCCCAGTTAAAGTGCAGCGATGAAAATGACTGACGCTCCTTTTGTCCAATTAAACATCCGCCCTCCAGGGCGTGACCCAGAGGACCCACCTCAGTTGTCCCAGCAGAGGGCTCGGCCCTAATTGGCAGTTCGCTATCCTACGAAGGCCCAGCAATTCGAACCGAGGGGCTGAACCCCACCTCAGACCAACCAGGAAGGGGTGACGTATTAGATCCCGCCTCCCTGCTCCTTTGAGCGAATCCCTGGCTCGGAAGGCGGGGGTTAATGAAGAGGCTGCCTAATGGGAAGACGGCGCGGGGAGCGCCCGCCTAGTTATTGGCCGCATAAAGTAAACAGAGGGCAGGGCTGGGCGGGCCGGTGCCGGGGTGGCCCCCGGGAGGGGGCGGAGTGTGCGCGGCGGGCGGCGGCGGCCGGGGAGGCCCGGGAGGCCGCGGCGCGGTCACTGCGAGCCGAGCCGAGCCGAGCCGAGCCGCGCCGCGCCGCGCCGATCGCCATCCGGCCCCGGCTCCCGCGAGCGATCCCGGCCGGCGGCGCGGCCCGGCGGGCCCGGCGGCGCCGCAGCCCATGGAGCTCGAGAACATCGTAGCGAACACGGTGCTACTCAAGGCCCGGGAAGGTGAGGCGGCCAAGCAGGCGGCCGGGTGCGGGAAACACAGGCGCGCGGCCTCCGAGCTCGGCTGGGCGCCCCAGTCGCCAGATCCCCTAGGGCAGCGCGCTCCTCGCCCGGCGCCCCGCACCCCGCGCAGAGGCGAGCCCTTCCGGCCGGTAGTCCTCCGCACCTGCCCTGGGGTGTCGGGGCCCAGGAAGGGGCGGGGGTCAGGCCACCGCCCTCGCGGCGCGGGGTGGGGGGGTTGCGGTGAGGAAAAGAGAGAGGAAGGAAGAGGGAAGGGTGGGACCTGGGTCCTTGGAGAGCCTCTCTGAGGCGTCTTCCAGGTGATAGGTGAGAAGATGCCCCAAGAAAGGGTAGCCTATCCCACGTGCCTCAGGCCCAGACCCTGGCGCCCAGCCTGGATCCGCACAAAGTTGGTGCAGGATAAAGGTTTGGAGAATAAATGAGCGGAGCCACTGCGGTACCACAGCCCACCAGGTTTGGGGAAACTTGCTGGTCACATATGTTGCTCCGTGCCTCAGGCCACTGGGGACAGAGGCAAATCGGTCATGATTTTTGCCCTTGGGAAGCCCACGGTGTAGTGGGCTAAATGGGCGCAGGAATTAAGTGGGAGCTGTGCTTTGAAGGAAGAGAGCATGTAGGGCTGGCAGGACAGTAAATACAAGGCCTGGCAGAGGGAGCAAGTCTGGTGAGTGTGTATTGAGCTCCTTGGGTCTCCCATCCCAAATGTTACAAGGCACCTGCTCTCTGAGGGTTCTGGGGGACACAGAGGACCAGACCTGGTCCTCAATGCCTTGTGGTCGGTCTGGCCCTCACCTGCCCTTGTCCACCTCAGTAACATAATCACGGAACACTCATTATGTGCCCTGTCCTGTCTAGGGTGCTGGGGACCAGCGGTGAACAAGACCCTTCTTTTTTTAACTCTAGGGCAGGGAGGTCATGGCATGGTCATTTTCCACTCTTTGCTGGGCTTCCAGGCTGAGTCATCTGTTTCACTTTTCTACTCCATTTTATAGGTGGGAATCAGGCTCAGCCTAGGGACTAGCCCCCAAGTCATACAGTGAGACTGTGGTTGACCCAGGTCTAGGACACAGGATGCCCCCAATATAGTCTGTAGGCAGCCCAGAGGAGCCCTCAGATGGCATAGCATCTGGTACCCCCTGCCTGCCTAGTGTGTGTTGCCCCCCGGGAGGTGCTGCCTGGAAGTAGGCATGGCAGGCTGGGTCCTTAGTGCCCAGAGCCTTCCTTATCTCCTGTCCCTTATCGAGTCCCAGGGCTAGGCCTTCCTCCTAGCCTCTGGGGGCATCTGCCGATTCTGTTCTGCCTCGTCATCTAGCGGGCTAGGGAGGAGGGGTGGGGAGAGCCTGGCCAGGCCTCCCTCCCTAGGGCTGTAGCCCGTTCAGTCCTCAGGCCTGCTGAGAGCACTGCCTTGCCTGGCCAGAGAGTGTGGCACCTCCAGACAGGCTTCCTCAGGCCCTGGGTGAGGCGAAGCAGGGTATGGCCGGACCGGGACTGCTGCCTCCCCTGGAGAACCCTTACCCAACCTGGTTCTGCCCCTCCCACCTGCATGCTTCTAGACAAGTCTCTTCTCTCTAAACTTTAGTAACCCTTTTTGTGGAATGGTTGGGGATGGAACATGAAAACTAAAAGGAATGCCTGTTGTCACAGAGTCCTAAAACCTGGCCCATAGACTGGCTGCATTGGAATCCCTTCATTAGCTGGCTGACAGCTTGGGGCCGGGCCTTTGCCACCTTCCCAAGGGATCTGAGGCCCTAAATGGTTTGGGAACACTGGGATGGCCAGCATGGCGGTTTTGGGGTTGGAAAGGAGCATGGGTTGTGGTCCCAGGGAGCTGGGTTTGAATGCTGCCTCTGGCACCTCCAGGCTTTGTGATCTTGGACAAATTGATTCCTCGTTTCAAGACCTCCGTTTTCTCATGAGGTTGTACCTAGCGTGGCAGCGTTGCTGTGAGGATGAAGTGGGGCAGTGCTGGGTGCGGGGGAGCCCTTGTTTAGTCCTCTCTTCCTTGCCCAGGTACCCAGAGGCATGGGGCGGGGGAGGGGGCAAGCTAGGCCAGGAAGGAGCCCCACCGACCCTGGTGGCAGTTCCAGGACAGGATATTTGCATGTGACTCTTGTTGCTGCCTTGATGTGGCTGGGAGGAGGGGGAGGAGGAAGTAACTGGTGGGGGGAGGCCAGCGGATGGAGGGGGGGGGGAGGGACCTGGGGGGGGGGGGGAGGAGTTCCCCTTCTGAGGAGGCCTTGCCCCAGCTTGGGGGTGGGGGTCTGTTGCTCATTCACAGTGGAGCAATGACTGTGGGGTACGCTGGGTGTAGGCCGCCGCAGGGCTGCTAGCAGATTTCCCAATGGGTGTCCTGCAACATTTCCTCCTCCAGGCAGTTTAGGTCACAGAACCCAGGGAGGCACCCAGCTGTGCCCCCTCCCTGGAGCAGCCTCTTCCCCTGTGCCACCTGCCTTCAGCCAGGCCAGATGGAAACAAGGCTGGCTAAACCGAGGGGAAACTGAGGCCAGGCAAGTGAAAGTGGCTGCCTGAGCTTGCCATGAGTTGTTGGAGCCCACCTCTTGCCCCAGCCCTGCAGAGTATTAGACACAGACTCTCTGAGTCACCCTGACAACACCTCTGGAGGTGGCTTTGGATCCAAAGTACCTATGAGGATATTGAGGTTCATAGAGGGCAGGGGATGGGCCTAAAGTGTGAATTGGAGATTCAGACCTCTGTCTGTAGGGCTCTAAGACTCGTGCCCTTCCATTTTCTACCTCCTGGCCCATGGGCCACATCTGGCTAGCTCTCTAACATGTTTAATTCATTTGGCTGCAGTGGATTTTTACAAAAAATATGAACCAGCATTTCATATAACAGTCCAGATTCCCAGCTGAACACACTAAGCCTGCATTCCTGCCTGGCAACAACCAAGCGGCAGCTGCCCCTGTTCAAAGGAGCATGGATGGCCCAGTTCACCACACTCCTCACCACTCCCTACTGTCTCCCATTTGGCTCACATTTACCATACCCATCTGGCTCTGTAGGCACCTGGGCTGCTACTCTGGTCTCAGCAGCTATAGATAGGGAGTCAGCTAGGTAAAATGAGGCAGGTATCGGGGCCATGGAAGCCCTTGTGTACTGAAGTGTGCATCCCGAATGCCACCACGTCGTCCCGAGTCTCTAATAGCTCTGGTGCAGGGCCAGGTAATAGGCGTCTGAAGCCTTCCCAGGGCCCCAGGCCGCCCTGTGCCTCTGGCATGTCTCAGTTATGTTCCACATGTCCTGAAGTCTCTCCCTTCTGCATCTTGACTTACATAGTTCCCACCACCGTCATGTCCTCTGCTTTCTTCCCCTGGGAAATTCTTACCTGGTAGGAAGCAGCTAAGGCTTCCCTGAAGCCCCCCTCCATACACACCACCCCTGTCCCCCACTCCTGGTGGCCTGTCCCTGTCCCTACCACCCCTCTTGGGTCTTCCAGCCCAGGAGCCTCCCCCCAACCCCCGCAGGAGGGCCCAGGGGACCATGTGTGTCCCAGAGCCCAGTGAGGGCATGCTGAAGCATGTGGAATGAAGACCTGAGGTGCCTCCTAGAGTGGGCTGTGCCTGGGCTGAGCCCAGAAGACCTCTGGGTGCCCCGAGTGGTGAGGGAAGTGGGTGGCGGTGGGACTGGAGACCCAGTGCCCGTTTGCTCCCACAGGTGGTGGTGGGAATCGCAAAGGCAAAAGCAAGAAATGGCGACAGATGCTGCAGTTCCCCCACATCAGCCAGTGTGAAGAGCTGCGGCTCAGCCTCGGTGAGGCCTAGGTGGAGACTTGGGGGTGCTGGGGGAGCCTCCCCTGAGACCTCACCCTGGGGCAGGCAGGGTTGGGGGTTCTGGGGAGCAGGAAGATTGAGTCTGCACCACCCAACCCAGTTTCAGTTCCTGGGCTTGAGATGGGTGGAGAGCACAGTGTAAACAGGACAGCAAAGGTGGTTGGGGTGGGTGGATGGGGGAGTAGGGCAGGGTCAGATTTGGGGCAGTCGGAGAGAAGCAGAGGAAAGGAGGGTCAGGCCTAGGGTGGGCACAGTGGAGGCTGCAGGGTGGACTGCATGAGGAGCCCCAAGCCCATGCTTAGCACAGCACAGCCCAGAGTGGGGTGAGTAGCGGGGGCAGCAAAACCTGGACCAGAAGGGCCAGGACCCCAGTTCCTGCTTATCCTGGCTGAGGCCCCAGGTCTGCACAGCCCCTAAGATTGTCTAGGCCCCTCTGACAGCCTGCACGTGGGCAAGGAGTATACCATGGCTGCTTCTACCGCCTGGGAAGGAGGCCTAGCCTCGAGCTCGCCGGAAGCCACAGCTTCCTCCTGCACTTTCGCCAGGCAGGCAGCAGGTTTGGGCCTAGCCTGGGCCAGGCCGGAACCTCACAAACCACACCCAGGCCCAGTGCTGTGACGTATGTAGGTGGTGTCAACCAGGAGATAGCAGGGGGAGGTGAGGGCCTAGCTCCGG